CTCTGGCATACACCTTTCCTAATTTTAAACCTTATTGTTCCCTTGTCCCATAGCCTCTTGGTCTATGTACAGTTTCCTTATGAGCACAATTAAATGTCCTGGAATACTCATTCTCTGCAATGTTGTCCATAGCCTGTCACGATCCACACAATTGAAAGCCTTTGCATAGTCAAAAAAGAGTAAGTAAACATCTTTCTGGTATTCTCTGCTTTCAGCCAAGATCCATCAGACATCAGCAATGATATCACTCATTTCACATCCTCATTTGAATCTGACTTGAACCTCTGGAAGTTCTCTGTCAATGTATGCTTGCAGCCATTTTTGAATGATCTATAGAGACCCACTGCTAGGCCATCTAATATATCTCCTTTACTACCACCTAGTCTAGTGGTATCTTCTTAAATGTGGATTTCTTCAGAAGACTCCTTGTTCCCTGCTTCCATTTTCTCTGCACTGCAATTCATCTTGCAAGGTTTATCATTCTCAATGCTGCCTTCATCCATTACTCACTCCCTTAGAAACCTTCTGAGACTCATTACTCCATTTCTTCAGGTGTAAACTCCTCTGCTTGGTTGATCAGTTCCTCCACCATCCAGTCCCACTGTCTCTTATTCTACCCTTCCCATCACTGCCAGAGTTAAGTCTGTGCTCCAATGTGGCAAGCTTATGTTTGCCTTGGCAAATCCTGCCTGCCCTTAGACTCAGCTTGAACCCAATCTTTTCCAAGAAGATTTTATGGATTCTCCAAGTACATTCATTTCAACTTGACTATTGAGTCGGAACCGACTCCACGGCACATACCAACAACAATTGTTTATTTAGTAGTCCTGGTGTGGTGCTGCAGGTTAATGTGCTGAACTGCAAGGTTGGTTTGAACTACAAGGTCAGGAGTTCAAGCTCATCAGTCACTTCTTGAAACCCTACACAGGGTTGCTATGAGTTGGAACTGACTTGGCAATACTTAATAACAACTGTTTATTTGATAGGTGCTGAGGTGTGGGTAGGAACTCTGATGGCATAGTGGGTGAAGAATTGGACTGCTAACTAAAGGGCCAGTGGTTTGAATCCTCCCTGGCAAGAGGATGTGGGAATTTGCTCCTTTAAAGATTTGCAGCTTTGGAAACTGTATGGGATGCTCTAGTCTGTCCTATAGACTTGCTATGAATCAGACTCATGGCATTGGGTTTGATTTTTTGGTTTGGGGCCAAGAGGATGAATTGCAACCTTGGTCTCTTGGTTCCTATAGTCACTCTGACTTCCACGAGAAAACTAAGTTAATCCAGTATTATCTTAAACCAGAATCATCACATATATACCTTCTCCCTTCCAGTAATTAATTGAGAATTTTAACCCAGTGATTTAAAGTGTGTGTAGATGAAGAATTTGACCCATAGAGGACAAATGAAAATTTCCTGTAGCTGTTTGTGATTGATTCTTGGTAGACTGAATATAATATGTGCCAATTATTAAAATGCAATAAAGTATGCTTCCTAAAAATAGGTAGATGTATTTTTATCTTCGGCACTAAAAAACAAAGTCAGATTAATGTTCATCTATATTTATTGACAAAGAAAGATCACCTTTGTCCAAAAGACCTTTGCTCAAAACAACAACAACAACAACAACAACAAAAAACACAACACAACAAAACAATATATACAATGGAGCATCATTTTTGTTTAATAAAAAACTCTAAGATATAGAAAAACCTCTGGAAATCTCTGTAACACATGGTTTTCTTTGGGTAGAGGAACTATTGGTGTTTAGACAAAGCACTTCCTTTTTGTCCCAACTTTCTATAATAAGTAGTTTCAATGTTATAATCAGAAAGAAAGACGTTTTTCATTTTGGGAAAAGTCACAGAAATAGGGATATCAATTTGGTGCAAATGCAGATGGATCACTTTAGAGACAGTTCAAAATTGAATATTAAAAGACCTTCTGTTGTGTTGTAATGTCGAGTGAGGACCAGGCTGGACCATCTACAGGGAGACTTCACAGATGTGGCCTGAGTGATTGCAGTGTTTCAGGGCAAACATTATAAAAATAAACAAATGAGCCAGCTAATGGAATGTGGTAGACAGGAGGCTGGAGTAATTACTATAAATGCTGTGCCCTTTTCTTGTCAGAGACCCAGAAAGGACTTTAACCTCTAGGTCTGTTAATCTGGCTTCTATCACAGACCAGAGCTAGTGGTACTTCATGTTCTAAATTCTAAATATATGATTTGTCCTTGATATGATCTAGCAATTTTGTTTTCTCTCCAGTGAAGTTTGCTATCTCATCGTAAGAATGGAAAATGTAGGGGTTGGTGATATCACACAGGTAGATGTCTATAACCTTGAACATTTCATGTGCAGGTGGGACTTTTACCACGTGGGGGAATTCACTTGAGTTTTCAGAGAGCCAATGGGTCAACCATGGGTCCCTATAAATAAAGTTCAGAAGAGACTCTGCATTCTGGACTCTGGAAAACCCTTCAGCCATGAGGTTGATACTGTTTCTTGGTGCCCTTTTGGGGCATGTCTACTGTCGAGAAACATTTGTAGGGTAAGTGGTACCTTCTAGCACCTGTTTGATTATTCTGATCTGATTCATGGTTAGGCTCCACAAATCTGAAATTCTCTCTTGATTGTTGCAGAGTAGTGGGTCTAAGTGTTCAGCATTTGAAGAGAAGTTCTCTTAGATTGAAGGAGTGCTGGAGGTATAAGCGGTTAAGGCTTGGCTACTAACTAATTAAAAGGTTGGTGGTTCCAACCCACCCAGAGACCCCGCAGGACAAAGACCTGAGATCTGCTCTGAAAAGATTACAACCAAGGAGACCCTCTGGGACAGTCCTACTATGCCACATGAGGTCATTAGGATTGGAGTCAACTCAATGACACTCAACAACAACACTTACATTGAGGTGTGGTGGTGACTGGCTGGGATAATAGAAATAGGCAATCAAAAAAGAGATGAATGATATTTAAAGGGAAAAAGAAAAGAAAACGAAATACACATAGCCCTATTTCTCTCTCTTCTGACTTGTTTTTTCTTTCAGTGATGAGATTGTTGGGATGACAGGCATTAGTCAAAATCCAGTTGTTTGCTTGGCCATCGAAGGTTAATCTCCCATTTCTTTCTTCCCACCTTTCTGGGCTTTATCTTCCATGTCAACCCTGGATGCACCTCTTTAGATCTAGGGTCCAAGTGGTGGGACCCACTGCGGCGGAAGGACCAGGTGCCACTGTAAGACTCAGGATGAAGAGCCATTCTTGCTCCAACGGACTTTGGTTTCAAGATTCTCTGAGTCGCTCTAGGCAGTATTTCTTGCACAGTAGTTCAGGGAATGAATGAAGTGGTCAAATAATTTTGGTCCAAAAAAGTGGGTGGTCAAATTGATTTACTCTAGTTAGAAAAATTGGGGAATCCTGGGGTTTTAAAAAATGATAAAATTTCTAGAAACATTTACTAAATTAATGTGTGCTGAAAATCTATTAGAGGAGATCTAAGTTGCAGCATTTATTCAATTAAAAAAATTATCAAGTTCCCCTGTCCCCCCCTCCTCTTTTTTTTTTGGCCAACAGTCGAAGGGCTACTATCTATTCCTTACAAAATACCAGGAAGCATTTGACTAATACATTCTTTTTCCATTTTCCATTTTCAAGGAAAACTCTTCAGAATGACCATGTATTAACCAAAAGGAATGAGACTCAAATCAAAAAATGTCCAAACCCTTTTTGTTGTTGTTGTTAAGTGCCATCGAGTCGGTTCCGACCCATAGCGACCCTGTACAGGGTTTCCGAGGGTGTAAATCTTTACGGGAGTAGAAAGCCTCATCTTTCTCCCGCGGAGCGGCTGGTAGTTTCGAACTGCTGACCTTAAGGTTCGCAGCCCGATTCGTAGCCACTACGCTACCAGAGCTCCTTTTTAGTAGGTGAATATTAGAGGCTGGAGAGCCTTAAGGATTTCATATTTAATGACGTATATTCCATTAGTCCCGCGGTGGCGCTGTAGGATCTAGCACTTGACTATAAGGTCGGTTTCAACCACAAGGTTGGCAGTTCAAACTTATCAGCCTGTCCTCAGAAACCCTATAGGAGATTGCTATGAGTCAGAACTGACTTGATGGCACTTAATGACAATTCCATTAGCTGGAGTCCTGGTGTGTGGTCTGTAGGATAAACACTGGACTGCTAACTGTAAGGTGGGCGGTTCAAATCACCAGTCAATACTTGGAAACACTATACAGGATCACTTTGAGTCAGATGTGACCCAATAGCTCACTACCACAACATTCTACTAGTTCACTGACAATTGCCTTGTGATGGATTTCAGAAGATTTAGACTTACTGTACCAGTCACTTCTCACTGCAGTGACTGGAAAAGTCAGCCTGCTTTGGATCAAGGGAGAGAGGAGGAACTTCTGTCACTACGAAAAACACGATAAGAATTCTGTCCAGTCCTTCTCTAAGGACACACATTTGTTTATTTTGAGACTTCTCTTTCTTGGCAAGGTGTCCTAAACCAGTTGCCTTCGAGTTGATTTCAACTCATGGCAACTATATGCATTGCAGTGTAGAACTCTGAGAGGGTGTCCAAGGCTGTGACATTTTGGAAGCAAATCACCAGGCCTTTCTTCTGAAGTGCCTCTGAGTGGGTTTAAATCACCCACCGCCTTTCAATTCACTTAGTAGTCAAGTAGTTAATTGTTTCTAACACCAGGGACTTCACCAAGGTGTCCTGTTGTGTGCCATTGAGTTGATTCCACATCATAGTGAGCCTACAGGACAGTGTAGACCTGTCCTAGAGGGCTTGCTAGGCTGAAATCTGTATGGGAACAAATTGCCCCATCTTTTTCCCCACAGAGTGGCTGGTGGGTTCTAACCACCAACCTTTGGGTTAGCAGTAGAGTAATAAATCATTGCTCCATCAAGTCTTCTTCAAGGAGCCCTAGATAGTCTTAATCCCTCATTGTGTGTATGTATGCGCACATATACAATAAGAAAGGTACACCATCATCTGTCTACCTCCTTGTTGGGTAGGCATACCCCAGATTTGGACTGTATGAATGGGATTTGGAGGTAGAGTTCGGATGCTTCAGCAACTGACAAAGTAATCATAACATCAAAACAACCCTTAATTCTTTTCAGAGGTGATTTTGATTCTTCTTGCAAGCACTAAACTGATTATTCCATTTTTAAATTACAAAAACACAAAAGTCTTATTTCTGAAAAACAGGAACAGACACGTTTTAAAAGTCAGTGCTTCATAAGCAGCAGGTTTTATCTGACAGATAATCATTAGCTAAAGGAAAGAACTTTAATGGCAAGCTTCCTGCTAGGAGCAGGGACACTTCTTAATTATTATTTAGATAATATTTCCTTGGGGAAAATAAAGCCATTCTATCAACTCCTCATTCTAGGGATGTGGGTCAGCATACTATTTATCAGTTTCTAGATTGTCAAAGAGATTATTGACGGTTACTTTGACTTCTTATGTGTGGAGACCAACTGGAACAGAAAGCAACAGAAAACAGCGACCAAGTTTTGCTCTTAAGGTCATGTCTGTGGTTCAACCTTCTTTCTTTAGAGATCAAGTTCTTGAGATCATACCAAGGAATGAAGAACAAATAAAAAATCTGGTGGAACTGGAGGCTGAAGAACATCTTCAGGTATTTGTCCTGGGGGATTTCTTTAAGCGATTTCTCTGCAGTTAGACATGATGGATGACTGAGATCTCTTACTTTACACTATATCTCAGCTCCTCTAGCACAACAAGGAAGCTAACTCATGGAGGTGGGGATCCAAAGACCTGGGCTCTAGTCCCAGTCGTGTGACATTGGCTGAGTCTCCTATCTTCCTTATGCTTCATTTTCCCACTCGATAAAGTGGGGGTAAACACATCCCTGACCTAGCTCATAAGTTTACTGTTAGAAAAGAGAGGTCAAATGTGCAAGTTACTTTGAAAAATTGTTGAACACCTTTAATGTAGTCTTTCTCTCCTAAAATAATTTATAGTGTGAATATCCTGGTATGAAATGATTTGGAACACTTGAATGTCAACTTAAAAAAACACACCAAAAAACCCCTATTATTGTTTTAGAGAATCTTTTCTTTCTTCTAGTCTTGTTGTTGTGTGCCGTGGAGTCGGTTCCGACTCATAGCGACCCTGTACAGGGTTTCTGAGGCTGTAAATCTTTACGGGAGCAGAAAGCCTCATCTTTCTCCCTTGGAACAGCTGGTAGTTTCGAACTGCTGACCCTGAGGTTCCCAGCCCAATTCATAACCACTACGCTACCAGAGCTCCTACCCAACTGTAGAGGGAAAGACATCATAAACACATCCGCTGAAGCTTGGACATTTCAAAAACTCCCATAGCAACATCATAGGGATTCCACAATGATTTAGTCTTGGAGTGCTCCAGACATCGGTTTCTTGAAACATATTAATGTTCAACTGGCCAGTTCCCTGGAATAATCTACTCATTGTCTCTACTCATTATCCCTTTCAGCTTGATTTCTGGAAATCACCTACCACTCCAGGTCAGGCAACCCATGTCCGTGTCCCCTGGGGCAGCCTCCAGGCAGTCAAAGTTTTCTTGGAGTCCCAGGATATTGCTTATTCCATCATGATCCAAGATGTCCAGGTAAATATTCCACAGATCATCCTGGTCCACACAAACAAAGGTTTTCTCCTTGAGTACTTTTTGCCAGGACGTGGACCTGTGTGAGCCACTAGGGTTGTCCTCTGGTTTGGGCTATTTCTGCAGGGTGGACAGGAAGGTACTGACTTGCTCCCTATTGTACTGGACACAAGTGGGATACGGTAACCAAAATTTGAGGGAAAGAACAAAGGAGACTATAGGATGAAATACAAAGTGCTATCTGAAGGGTGTTAGTCAATGTAGGGAGAAACAGTTGATCGTTATTTATCTTCAATGGGAGGTTACCCTGGGTCCCAAGTTGCCAGAAAAGTGGGACGAGCTATGTCAGGTGAAGTCACTCAATACCTGACTATGCCTACAAGCTCACCAGGGGACTAACTGTCCTCCTGCATCTGCAGCATCTGGTTGGCCAGAAATCCCATTAACGCCCCATCCTCTTTGGGACCAGGTTACTTTTCTTGTTACACCTCTATGAAGTTTGCTCAGGGCTGTGCCAGACTAAAAGACACAGAATAGCCCCACAGCCTGCAGGACAGGAAGAAGGAGTGCCACCATGCTTTCACAACTAGATTAAAATGCATTACTGTAAGTGAATTATAGTTATAATTGATTATCTTAGGTTCTATTGGATAAAGAGAATGAAGAAATGCTATTTAATCAGAGAAGAGAACGGAGTGGTGTCTTCAACTTTGGAGCTTATCATAGCTTGGAAGAGGTAAGTGTTTCAACTGGACGTTAGACATGGGCCACTCTCTCCTTCCATGACACAGTCAAGACAACCATCTTACTTCCTAAGTTCTCTGTCTCCCTAGGAGGTCACAACCACCAACAGTGTTGCTGGTTTCACACCTCCTTTTTACTCACCGCAGGACCTGAAGCCCAATTGTCCCTCTCAACAGCCACCGAGCTATTTTGGAACTGTCCAAGCAATCTTAGGCAGCACGCAAATGGCCCTCTTGTGCGCATGCTCTTCCCTCAAGGCCTCCTTGTTGATTTCCCATAAGGCTATTTGAAGGCTATGTTTTCATGGTTACCATTGAGGATAGAATCAGAGGCCACCTGGCCCTTGTGATTTCAGGTCAAGGACAAGGTCTTCCAACCTGTCCAAGGCGTCAACACCTCATGGTAGCCAAACTCTGTACAGTGTCTGCTGTTTTCCCTGAGTTTTGTTAGCCCTGTGAAGAATGCCCTCTTTCTCCACTGGGGTCACATGCTGCCATCTGTGCCCTTGGGAAATGCTGTTTACTCCTTTGTGATATAGAGCTCTTTTGGGGGCCCACAGGGATCTAGACACATTGATTTTAAGGGGTGAGTGGAAAGATAGGAGGGATAGAAAAGAGCCCCAGAATACATACCTTGTCTGTCATGAAGTCCATTCTGTCTCACAGCGACATTATAGGACAAGTAGAGCTGCCTCAGAGGGCTTCCAAGGCCATACATCTTTACAAAAAAAGCAGACTGCCACATCTTTCTTCTTCATCTTCTAGGTACAGATCTACTAAATCATCTATTCTAAAGTGCAAATACAATTTCTTTTCCTAATTTATTGGGTAGCAAAACTTGACCTGATCTGACATACAACTCCATTTGTTTCACTGCCAGAAACAGTAATGGGCTTGACTGTGGAGCTGTGCTGTATGTATGTTGTTGTGTGGTGCCGTCGAGTCGGTACTGACTTATAGTGACCCGAATCACAACAGAACATAACACTGCCCAATCCTGTGCCAACCTCACAATCATTGCTACACTTGAGCCCATAGCTGCTGCCACGGCGCCAGTCCATCTGGTTGGAGGTCTTCCTCTTTCTCTCTGACCCTGCACTTTACCAAGCACGATGCCCTTCTCTAGGGACTGGTCCCTCCGGCATGGCTTACCCAGAAGTATGAGAGACAAAGTCTGGCCATCTTGGTTTTTAAGGAGCATTTTGACTGTAATTCTTCCAACACAGATTTGTATGTGTAATATACACATATGCTTCCTATTGTTGTTGCTGTGAAGTGCCACTGAGTCTGCGTCTACTCATAGAGACCCTCTATGGGGTTTCCAGGGAGCAGGTGATGGGTTTGAACTGCTGACCTTGTAATTTGTAGTAAAGTGTTGATCCTACAGCGCCACACCAGGAGTCTATATGCTTCTTATTACTTTTATAAAATTCCATCAAAATTTTGAGTTGGAAATGCATATGGGCACCAAGGACTTGGGGTAAGGGATTGTGGGCCAATACCAAAAATCCGAAGGAGAAAAAGGAGCAGAGAAAACCAGATGTGCTCTCCTTTGCTTAACCGTATGATGGACTGCAGGATGTGATTGTCTGTGGCCTATGGAGAGAAAACATTGACCAAAAAAAAAAAAAGCTATTTTCATCCAGTTAACTCTCCAGACACGCCCAGACATGCCTCAGTCCCAGCAATGGCCACAGCTTGGGTGCTCCCGGAGACTCAGAATTTCAATTAGTCCTGAAAAGCAGGCTTCTGAGGGCTGAAGTGCCCTGAGGCAGGCGCCCTTTTGTCCCCTGGCCTGAGTGGCCCTGCTGCATTGTGGAACTCCCGCCTCTAAATCCACTTTTGTGTGTCATTAATCGGTGCCTTCCTCTGCTGGTAAAAGCTTTCTGTCTTAGAAGCTCCATCTTGCTGCTGGGGTTGAAGAAAACCACAGGCAACCAGAGAGCTGCCATTTTGTGGAGGCTGTACAAGAACTGCACAGAACGGCGGCAAAATGGTGTCTCCTTGTGCAGCCCCTGACTGCAGATGCGGTGACTCATCAGCTCTCAGCTTTGAGACAAACACCCCAACTCTGATGCCTCAGCTGGGCTGGCCTCTTCACTTTCTCCCCAGAGAATGACCATGGAGGGAAGAAAAAAGAAAACACAACATTTAAATGTGTCTCTGTATTCACTGAAAACCCTTTCAGATTTCCCAGGAAATGGATCACATCATTGCTGAGAACCCAGATCTAGTGAGCAAAGTGAAGATTGGCTATTCTTTTGAAAATCGTCCCATGCATGTGCTCAAGGTATGCTGACTGGGGGCAGCGGCTGGCCTGACCCTGTGGCTGCTCCTCCTCCCAGGCTCAGCCTGCAGTGGGGTCCTCCCCAACCCCCCACCCACCCCATCCCCCTCCTCAGTTCCTTTCTTTCCTGTTTCCTGCAGTCTGACGCAGGTCTGTGGGTGAAGGAGTGCTCACTGACCAGGGGTATAATGAACCAAGGGGGGTACCCTGCCCTTTTCTTTTCTTGTCCTTTTTCTTTTCTCTCCTCTTAAAAAAATAATTTTTTTTTTTAATTAACCAAATGGGGAGAGAAAAGAGCGCCCCTAGTTCCTGACTGAAATGCATTGTAAAACAGTTCCTGCATTGTGCAGAAAGAATGAGTAAGCCGCCATAGCAAATGCCCTAAAATGAAGGCGTTTTTTAATTGGTTTTATTTATTTCTATGGTTGTTTTTGTTGAGAATGCACACATAAACCAATTCATCGATGGCATTCTTTGAGTTTTCTGATTTGTTTCTTCTCCATTAACATAAACTCCTGGCCCCTACATTTCCTATCTATTTCTTGGAGTTGAAGTTGTCAGTCAGTTTGATCTCCCATAGTTCTTAAAAGAGCACAATGTTCACCAAGACAGACACTCTTTATGAGTGAAGCTGAAAACAAGTGAACTGTTGTTTGGTCCAAAGAGGACTTCAGGGGATATTTTCAGTTCAAGGTGTGTGTGTTTTAAGTGGTCGTTGAAAAGAGGGTTAAGGATTTGGCTCCAGCTTGAAACCTCTCACAGCCCTAGTACTGATGATTTTTGAGCTTCTTCACTTTGCCCTGAACCAGAGTGGAAATTATTCCCCCAGTTTTCCTAGAAAGAGTTTAAAAAAAGGAAAAAAAAAACCAACCCCAAAATCTCACAACTTCCTCTTAAATTTGGAAGTGTTGTGACAGGGAACCAAATGGGACAGATGGGTTTTTCAAGAGTAGTTTATCCCAAAGCCAACCAGAGAGGACTGGTTTGTGTGTTCCTTTGCTTGGGCCCCTTTGCTAATGCTTACTACCCTCCTTTCCGTTTCCACCCCTTTCTCCTACAACTGGGTCTCGAATCGCAGGATTCTCCTGATCTTCGCTTCTCTAGGGTGGTTTGGTAGTTCAAGAAGGCTTGTTTTTGAAAGTTCCTTGCTTTTTACATGTGAGCTCTTTGGAGGAAAAATGAACAAATCACTCACAACCCAAACTCTTCAAACCCCTGCAATGAAATGATGTTTGGCAAGGATTTGCATTTCGTATGGACCTTATGTGCTGTGTTTGGAATGCTGCTCAGAGATAGAAATTGATGGGGCAAACCATCTTTTCCTCCCTATTTACTGATCCAATTGGCAAAGTCACTGTTCCAAAGAAGATAGGAGTCACATCAGTCGTAAAATTTGAAGTCTGGGAAGACCAGCTAGTGTCTGCCAGCCCGTTTGTAAAGAAGGACTCAGTAGCTAAACACAAACATTTTTATTACCAAAAGAATGCAGTCAATGCATACATTTGAAAAATAGAGAAACAGACAAAATGAGCAGGGCACAGAATCCTTGTCATTCTAATTCAACAGCTATGGGATAGTAGCTATTAGCATTTTGCTTTATGTTTTTCTATATTTTTGTTTTGTTTTCTTCTCTGCCTTCCTCCTTCCCTCTCCCTTTTTATTTATCAGGATATAGTATGATACAAGGCTTCAAAAAAAATTCATGGAGAAATGGAATGAAAAGAAAAGGGGATTTTTTTCCATGAACTTTTTAAAGTCCCCTCATGTATATAGGTGTGTGTGAATATATATATATATATATATATATATATATATATACATGTGCCTTTAAAAAAATTAAAATGGCATCATGTTATTCTGTAACTGTTTTTTTCCCCCCCACCAATCTATCACATATGATGAACATATTTTCATGTCATTACACGATCTGCAAAGTTTATTTGTTTAACAAACATCAAAGGGAGAAAAAATTCTACTGTGTCTACTGACCCTTGTTACACTACATTTCCATTAAAGAAGGGGACCAACCCCCCCAAAAAAGTCACCACAAAAGAGAATTAATTGATAGCACAGCTTGCTGCCGCCTGGCAATTTCTCAGTCATCCCAGGCCGTAGGAAAGAGGACCCAGGGGACAGGGAGGGGTGGGTGGCTACTACAAGGAGCCATTCACATTTCCATGTTTCTTTTGCAGTTCAGCACTGGAGGGGACAAGCCCGCCATCTGGCTGGATGCCGGCATCCATGCTCGAGAGTGGGTTACACAAGCAACTGCTCTGTGGACCGCAAATAAGGTTGTTTCCTCTAACATTCCTTGATAATTATCTCTTTCTGAGGTTAGGACCTACCTAACCTAACCACATGCAGCAGTCCTCTCAGCCCAAGTCCTCTGCCTCACAGGCTGGAAGGCAAGCCAGCCAATGATTTTGGGTGTCACCATGCCCAGCCACCGCCTCCTTGGGCTTGCCACTTAGTGCATTCTTAAAAGACAGTGAGCTAGAAGGGACCGAGGAGAGGGTGGCAAGCAGGGACCCTGGAGTTCTGCTGAAATCAGACTGGAAAAAATTGCTTTGCTGCTTGGAACTTCTGAGGGTTGAGGAACGTTATGCTAGAAACCAATAGAATCAAGAAAGGGGCCAGACAACAAACACAAACACATCAGGAAGAGCACACAATGACCCACAGAGCCAAAGGGGAATTAGTTAAGGGTTTTTGGCTTGTTCTGAAAATGTCCCCAATTGGATTTTGAAGTCAAGACATAGCAATGCCTTCAACATGTTCCTCGGAATTAGAGTCACAACACACAGGGCTGGGAGTGCTGCTATTTCGTAAGCAATTCAAAAAACGGCATGCTATAAATCAGAATGTTAATTCATGAGCCATGCTACTTCAGATCATTCAAGCATGTGCTGCCACATGCATACCGGCTGATACATTTTCCTCTTCAATTAAAATGCGCTTACCTTTAGGGTATTATGAAATGGATATTTAACAGTTGAATAATAATGCCTGAGGATGGCTGAGCACAGGAAATGAATAAATTTTAATCCAACAGAAACTTCCACTCTGACTCCACTGCAATTGATCGCAAGTAAAAATTAAAAAAAAAAAAAAAAAGTTAATTCCTCAAATGTAATATCACCAGTTCTTGGTACCTTTAGAAAAGTTCTGGCAGGCTTAAGGAATCAGCTGTTGGTCGGTGGTGAGGTCTTTTGGAAAGCTACCCTGTGTGGTGATTAAGGAAAATGAACAACTTTCTTTGGTACTTTGGTCACCCGGGAGGTCAGCCACACATACCATTGCAGAAATACCTCATCAGAAATTACAGGAAGAATACTAGTATTTTTTAAAAGACTTGTCGTTTAATGCCAGTTCCGACCCACAGTGACCCTGTATAGGGTTTCCAAGGAGCCGCTGGTGAGCTTGAACCACCAACCATGCAGTTCAAATGGTTTTGCAGTCTGGCGCATTAGCCCACAGCGCCACCCCAGGACTCCAGACACTATGCTGTTGTTGCTGTTAAGTACCATGGAGTCCGTTCCAACTCATAGTGACCCTGCACAGGGTTTCCGAGGCAGATCTTTATGGGAGCAGAAAGCCTCATCTTTCTCCAGTGGTAGATTTGAACTGCTGATTTTGAAGTCAGCAGCCCAGCTGGGAATCCATTATTTTACCAGGGCTCCTTAGTAGAAGAGTGTTGTTGTTAAGTGTCTTCAAGTCAGTTCTGACTCATAGCGACCCTGTATAAGGTTTCCAAGACGCGGCTGGTAGGTTTGAACCGCTGACCTTGTGGTGCCGATACTGGCATATTAATTACATTAACAGGGCAGGAGACTGGATTCTGCTGTACCTAGACATTCCTAATGACCAGCAGTGATCTTTAGCTCACGTTTGTGGCAGGGTAGGGAACATACTGCCTTAATTTTCTCTCCTTGCATTCCCTGACACATGGGGAACATGAGGCTAACATGTGTGTTGTCTTTGCTCAGCTTGCCTCTGATTATGGAAATGACCCTTTCATCATTTCCATTTTGGACAAAATGGATATTTTCCTGCTGCCGGTCACAAACCCCGATGGATATGTCTTCTCTCAAACCAAAGTAAGTCAGAACTTTTTCTCTTCTCCAACTAGGATCTGGGGAGATATGTAGGAACGTCAAAAACAAAATGAAAGGAATCTTTCTGTTCTTGATTTAGCCTGAAACGCACGGCCTGATCTCTCAGTAGTGGCCCTGAATTGAGGCATGTGGTGAATCACTTCTTACCCCAGCCTCTGCCAGAGCCCATTTCAGTGACTCGGCCGGGCTATTAGAGCTCTGTGCTCGTGGTGAGTCACCTAGGAGATTTGTTCCAATTATCTCTGCATTTTCGTGGCAGGATTGATAGAAAAGAGGGGGCGAATGTTACCTGCTGACAATTAGATTACAGTAGGGTTTAGGTAGGCAGTCTAATACATCGAGTGTCTTACTCACAATCTCTAGATGAAATCCTCTGTAATATCACTAAAAAGAATTACGCTGTCTTTTCTTTCTTTGAAATCTTATTATAAAACATCATTGTGGCAAACTGTGACCCCACGTATATTCCAAATGAATCAGAGCTTCTAGTTTATTTTTGGAGAGAGTTGGCTATGATAGCAATTTTCAAAGGGACTTGTATTAATACTAAGACTAATCCCAGGAGAACCTAGGAATAATGGGAGCCACCACCCACTGTATCCTTCTCTTGGGGGTTCATAAAAAGCATGAAAGCATTACAAATTCTTAGAAGTTCTGAATAAGTTAACCTAGTTAGCCTCATGTCTTCCCAAAATATTCTATCACAGAGCTTGCTCCAGCAGCTCCCTTTTTCTCTTTTTGGTTAACATTGAGGTTTTATGGGACATGAATTGGCAGGTCTTCATTAGAGGGAATGAAGAGATAGCTACTTCTCCTTGGGACAGATGAGCAGCTCCAAGCACAACCTCTGAGTCAGGGGAAATTAGCACAATTCTAAAGGGCCCATCTCGGGAGGGAGCAAGGGAAATCAATTTGCAGAATTCTGAAGGGACTGTCTCACCAGGTGGAATGACCAGCTTTCTTTTTTTCCTGGATTTTTTAGAATCGGATGTGGAGGAAGACCCGATCCAGAGTCCCTGGAAGCTACTGTGTGGGTGTTGATCCTAACCGGAACTGGGATGCAGGTTTTGGAGGTGAGCACAAGGCCTTGTCCCCTGAGCTAATCAGACTGTTGTCTGCCCACCTTGCTCTTTCACCTCATTCTCGCAGTGCTGACTGCAAAGCCTATTCAGGAGTCAAGCCATTTAAAGACGGATTAGAGAAACACTTGAATGCTGTCACAGAGCTCTGAACGGTGTTTAATATATTTCATCTCACATTTGGTTTCCCCACAAGCTGTAGCCTGGCTCTAGCTTAGGCTCTGAGGGGTGGGAGCAAGGTGGGTAGGCTCTGGAAGCCCCAAATCAACCACTAGGGGGCGTTAGGATCTGCTCAGAGGAAAAGCATTACATCATCTGGATGCTTCCAGAAAGAAAACTAAAAAAGAATTACACATAGGATTGAAATATTGATTTTCAGAATAGATTCAAATATAAACTATTAGGTTGATCCTAGCTCTGTTGACTTGCCGGTGTAATTCTTCAGATTCTCAAAGGCCCTCCTTTCTGTTTCCAGGTACGGCCTTAAAAACCCCTGGTTCACTAATCTCAGAATTGGAATTTGTTTTCCTCACTAGGTTATAATGACAGTGAAGTTTGGAATTGTGTCTTATTTTTCACTACAGTATTTCCAACACCTCACACAGTGTCTGGAATGCAGAAGACAAGTACTAAATATTTGTAAAACAAATAAGAAAGGAATGAGAGGCAGGGAACCAAGAGACAGCTGTCTGTGGGTGGCGCAGACAGTGAAGCACTCACATACTAACGGAAAGGCTGAAAGTTCCAGAAGGTTTGAATCTGCCCAGAAACACCTCGGAAAAAAGGCATGGCGAGCTACAAAATTGAAAACCCTGTGGTGCACAGGGCAACTCTGTAAGACACGGGGGTCGTCCTCGACCCGTTGACAATTACTGTGTTTTGTTTTAAATGATATTTTATTTGTGTTTCAGGTAAAAATATGCACAGCAAGTTAGGTTCCCATTTAATCATTTTTATACAAATGATTCCCTGACATTGCTTACAGTTCTCATAATGTGCCAGAAGTTTCATGATTTCGAATCGTTTGTTCTGTTTCCATTGTTTTTAAAATTTATTTAATGGAACCAGTAAGGACACATCAGGGATTTGGGACATTAATTGCTTTAACAAAATATTTTTTTCAGCGTTGTTGTTAAGTGCCGTCGAGTCAGTTCTGACCTATAGCAACCCTGGATAGAGTTTCCAAGGAGCAGTTGGTGAGCTTGAACCGCCGACCCTGCAATTCAAACCGACTTTGCAATCCAGCGCATTAACCCACAGTGGCACCAGGCCTCTGGTGGGGGTGGGGGGTGGGAATCAAAACATCAGACCCATATATTGAATGTTGTCTTTTGGTGCCATTGAGTCGGTTTTGACTCATAGAGATGGGTCGGAACTGCCAACCTTGCAGATAGTAGCCCATTGCTGCTTATACGACAGCACCATACCTAATCAATTCAGAATCAGTATTTTCCCTGAGATGTCACTATTCCTAGAAGGTAATTTCTAAATAAGATGACAAGCTTGTATCTACACTGTTGATATTCCTTTCGATCCCAGGGGACTCCCAGACTAACTGTCCCCCCATGGGTTCTGTAGCCTGCAGAGTCCTAGCCAGGGCTACAGTGGGCTCACTCCAAGGGTCATGAACAACTCTAGCTGTTGAAGACTTTTGACTGAAGGTCCAATCCCCTTGAAGAGAACCTTTTTGGTCACATGTGTAGATTTCCTCACTACAGAAAGGGTGTCAGAGATTCCTTGCATTGTGTTTGTGGCTTTGTGCCGTACAGGATCAAATGCACAGCATTTTCTACTCTTGGACTTGAAGAATTGGAAGTGATTCCAAAAATCAACATGCTAAACTTCTATCAATCCCATCAATAATATTAAATCTAACTTTTCTTCTGGTGACAACTTCACTTTCTCAGAGAGAAGATGACTAATTTGATAACCCTTTCTGCTCTATGTTGTTGTTGTAAAGTGCTGTCGGGTCGATTCCGACGCATGGAGACCCTGTATAGGGTTTCCAAGGAGTGACTGGTGGGCTTAAATTGCTGACCTTGTGGTTAGCAGTACAGTGCTTATTCTATAGCGCCGCAATGAGACTCCTTCTGCTATATGTTGTTGTTGTTAAGTGCCATCGAGTCAATTGTGACCCATAGCAACCCTGTATAGGGTTTCCCAGGAGTAGCTGGTGAGCTTGAACCACCGACCTTGCAGTTCAAACGGCTTTGCAGTCTGGCACATGAACCCACAGCACCACACCAGGACTCTGCTATATAGAGGAACGATATTTTTTTAAGAAGGGAGAAGAAGTCAGAATTACTTCATTTAGACTTTTGGAATATGCCCTAGGCAACAACTTGATCTAATGCAATGAAAATCTTACTCTGGATTCCAGAGGAGGGACTTCATGATGCGTTGTCACTGTCTCCATACAGCACTCCTCCAAGTTCTCTGTTCTCACTTAGCTTTTTCTTATCCCATCAGGACCTGGAGCCAGTGACAACCCTTGCTCTGATTCCTACCATGGACCCAGTGCCAACTCCGAAGCTGAAGTGAAGTCCATCTCGGACTTCATCAAGGCTCATGGGAACTTCAAGGCCTTTATTACTCTCCACAGCTACTCCCAGTTGCTGATGTTCCCTTATGGGTACAAATGCACCAAGTTAAATGACTTTGATGAGCTGGTGAGTTCTTGAAACTTCAATTCAGTTCAGCAATGAGTAGCCATTGTGTCGCCAACTATGTGTCAATCATAAAGTTAGGTACTGGGATTGGGATGTACTAGTGATCGGTAACAAAGATGAATTGAGATGTAATTCTATACATTGAGAAGGTTATGACATAGGCAAGGGTTTGAAAGGCTGATTATGAACTCTCCTAAACTGCATTTCTATGGGAAATAGAATTCACGAAATGATCATTGTCTTAATCTACATGGACAGGACGTGCTGTCTGTTGCTTGGGAAATAACCGCTTGGATTGGACCTGAGGCTCTTGACTCTGTAGCCATCCCAGAATCGCATCCAGTGCTTGCTTGGTGCTTTTGATGCAGGGACCGTCATTATGAAGCACTGATGTATGAGACTGACCCCTAACTTGATGCCTCCCACTAACTTTCCTGTTTCAGGAGTAAGCAGACTGGTGGTGGCCTTAGGTCAGGTGATGACATCTCCCGGGGCTGTTAACAATTGAGCAAGAGCTCTCCCCAGCCAAAGAATTATGTGCCAATATTTATAGTTGGGCTTTAAGGCTTAGTCTTTCAAATCCATATGTTAGATGACACCTGTTGATCAATTTTTACCTTCAAATCTATAGTATCATCAGGTCTGGGTAGAAATGGAATTAATTATTCGAATTCAGGTCTCTCTTCCATCTTATCTGTTGGATTCAAGTCCAGTAGGGTAGTTTTCAGGGTTTTGAGGGTGAGTATGTCTATAATTCCCAAGGAGCTCTGGTAGCGGAGTGGTTACGAATCGGGCTGTGAACCGCAAGGTCAACAGTTCGAAACTACCAGCTGTTCCACGGGAGAAAGATGAGGCTTTCTGCTCCCTTAAAGATTTACAGCCTCAGAAACCCTGTACAGGGTCGCTATGAGTCAGAACCGACTCCACGGTACTTAGCAGCAATGTCTATAATTCAAGGTTGAATTATAGAACAAGAATTTCAGGGGAGGAAGCAACCTAAAAGCTATCTTAAGTACACCTAGATAATCTTACGTTGTTTCAAGTTGGTGCTCAAAACTTGCCACATAGTCATTTAACTGATGATTGAATAACTCAAGAAAGGACAGCTTCTTGTCTCCAAGGAAGCACGTTTCATGTTGTAATAGAGCTAATTGTTAGAGTTCTTTCTTCTTCTTCTTGTTAAATGCCATCGAGTTGGTTCTGACTCATCGTAACCATAGGGTTTCCAAGGCATGCCTAGTGGGTTTGAACCACCAACTCATGGTTAGAAGTCCAGTGCTTGTCCTACAGTGCCACATCAGGACTCTTCCATACAAAGAGCCAAACCTATCCCCTGTGATTTTACATATCAGTCCTCCATAGAGCAAGTCTATTTCTCTCTGATCGGCAAACCCACTTACTTCAAACCCGTAACTGGCCTCCCCTAGGTCTTTCTTTACTCCTACTTCTTGTTGTTAGCTGCCCTCGAGTTCTCTTCCAATTTAGTGCTACCCTGTGCACAATGGAATTAGATTGTTGTGATCCACGGGGTTTTCATGGGTTGATTTTTCGGAAGTAGATTGCTAGGTCTTTCCTTCTAGTCTAGCTTAGTTTGGACGTTCCACTGGAACCAGTGTCAGGTGGGTGGTGGTGACCCATAGGCGAATTGAACCCGGCTTGTCCTGGTGTGGTGCTTTGGGTTAATGTGCTAGACTGTGAGGTTGGTTTGAACCACAAGGTTGGTGGTTCAAGCTTCCCAGGCATTCCTCAGAAGCCGTATATAGGGTTGCTATGGGTTGGAACCAACTCTATGGCACTTAACAACAACTCCTGTATGGGAAGTGAGAAATCTACTATTAAACCACCAATGCCTGCCTCTTAACTACTAAATACTCGTGGTTCCTTCAAGCACTCACAATATGGCGCCAAGCTTCCTCACGGTTCAGGTTGCTGTTTCCTGTGCATGCTTTGCTTTGTCCTTCAAGACTAGATCCCAGCAGTGAATGTAAGCTGCGTGCTCTGGGTTAACCAGCACAGGGCTGAACGTGACCCTGACTACCCTCATTCAGACCTTGTACTTGTGCTCACGCAGTCGAGGGTAACATTAGTTTTTTGGCAGTAACACCGTGTTGTTGACTCATGTTGGGCTCACTGACAACCGAAACCCCCAGGCTCTTGAAGGATGATGCTGAGCCAGGTTTTCCCCATCTGGTAGTTGTACAGTTGATTTCCTGGACCCCAGTTCAAGACCTTACATTTATCCCCTAGCAAGGACAGTAAAGCCTCAATCAGTCAAACTTGGAACCTTCAAAGAAGTGAAAATATTTTTCTGAGCTCTACTTCTTGGAGAAAGAGGCAGTCATAGGGAAATAAGCCAATGCAGGGATCTAGTAAAAGACAGCTCAACTTCCAGGTACATCCTGGGGTCAGTATACCTCCTCCTTGGCCTCTTAACACCCATCCTATTTCTACCCACAATTCTGCACAAGGAGAGCTAGTAGTAAAACAATGTCTCTGATCTATTGCACCTGGGTAATCAAACAAACAACTAGGGTTGTATTTTCAAAGCCAATAAAAGTGAACTTTTGCACACTCTTCAGTAAAATTGGTTGAACTGAAGAGGGTGTTTTGCTTGGTGGTTATGTGCCATAGAGTTGGTTCTGACTCATAGTGAGCCTGTATAGAGTTCCCGAGGCTGTAAATCTTTACGGGAGCAGAAAGCCCCATCTTTCTCTCGTGGAACTGCTGGTAGTTTCGAACTGATGACCATGAGATTAGCAGCCCGATTCATAACCACTACACTACCAGAGAGCCTTAATTAATCAGAGTCCAGTGAACCAGACCATCCTGTTCTCTATCCTGCTGGTAGGTATCCGGTCTCCCAAGAGACAACACTATTCATCTACCTCTTCTTGGTTCTCCTACTCTAGGATCAAGTGGCCCAAAAAGCTGCCAACTCAGTGGCAACACTACATGGCACCAATTACAAAGTGGGACCTATCTGTTCTGTGATCTGTAAGTATCTAATGCGTTGTAGATTTTGTTTTGCTTTTTTAAATCAATGGTTCACTAAGATGGCAGGCCCCCTAGGCATTTGAGGCAAAGCCTTTAAATGATCTGATGTGAAAAGAACATGCCTTCCCGCATGGATTCCAGCCTTCTGCACACAAGGTGAGGTCTCCTCCAGGAGATATTCATTGTGCATACATAGAACAAGGAGCTCCCAAAGTGTTTGGGTTTTGTGCTCACTGCTGTGTTTGTCCAAATGCTTAAAAATCCCTCTCACTATATGGAATCTCTGCCTGGAAATGTGTCTTCAACAACACCTGGCTCTAACTCATGCTCCTTTATCAATGTCCTCTTCTTTGACAAAAGTGGGCAGAGGTGAACAGAGACAGACAGAGGTGGGCAGAGGTGTGTAGAAGTAGGCAGGGGTGGAGAGAGGTGAGCCGAGACAGACAGAGATTGACAGAGGTGGGCAGAGGTGAACAGACCTTGGTAGAGGTGGAGAGAGGTTGACAGAGATGGAGAGAGATGGGAAGAGTTGAACAGATGTGGACAAAAGTGGAGAGAGGTGGGCAGAAGTGGACAGAAATGGACAGAGGCGTGCAGAGGTGGGCAAAAGTGCATAGATCAGGTTTAATCAAGACGAACACTTCTTCAGTCAAGCTGTGGCCTGGCTGTCGTACACCTGTAGGCAGAGAGAGAACTGAGGGACTTGCAGTTGGAGATGAATGGAAGAAAGGCCTGGCTATCTCCTTTCTCAGTGGGTTCTTAGTGGGAGTCCCGAAGTGCAGAGGAGGAAGGTTTTACAGGTCACAAAAATTCCTGTTTGCCTTCCCCTCGATTATTATTATTATTTGGCTATTAGGATGCATTTGGAGTCCTGGTGTGGCGCTGTAGGATCAGCACTCATCTGCCAACCACAAGGTTGGTGGTTCAAACCTACCAGCTCCTCCTCAAAAACCCTATACAGGGTCACTGTGAGTCAGAACTGATTCGAAGACACTGAACGACAACAACATTATGGTGCATTTAAACAAGCTTGTAGGAAAGTAAAGAACCCAAGGATCGTACTTTCTCACTTTTTGTTTCAGTTCTGATTTTGACCAATGTGTACAATGAGCACAGTTATGCTTATGAGCTAGAATCAGCATTTGTACCCTATTTTGTGGCCATCTTTTAGAAAATAACATTATTCCCTGTTTCGTTTCAAGTATTCACGCAGGGTATTTCTTACTCCTTTCTTGCTATAGGAGGAGGCTTCAAATAGTTCCTGGGAAATGGAATTGAAAGAGAATTTTTCCCCCCACGAACTTTTTGAAGCCCCTTCCTGTGCTCATGGAAGCTGTGGTCTGGTTTAGCCTTTTTTGGCTAACTTGTTCTCCTTTCTTTCAGATTCTCTCTTGGGAGAATGTCCCCAAGGCAAGAATACCAGATCAACAGCTCTATAGCTCTCATCACAGACTTTTGAGTCAATGTTACATCCTCTAGGAAGGCAGATCTGCTCACAATTGTGCAGACCTTTTTTTGCTTCTGTCCTCACAGGATTGATTGTCCTCTGATTTTTTAGGGGCCACTCATGGAAAGAGACCCTCTGAATGTAGAGGTGGGGAAATGAGGGGACCACCTCCAAGCCTGAGACCATGATGTCAACCTTGGGCTGAGGGATCCATATCTTTCCCTGGTTGTCAGTCTTGGACTAACACCCCCAAGACCCTCATATGGGGTCTCGTTCATTTTCGTCCAAGGAATCTAATTTTTCATGGAGGTTTATCTGGAGGTGGAGTTCCTGGGCCGTGTAAATGGTTAATGGGCCTGACTGCTAACCAGGAGACATGCCTCAGAATAAAGACCTGGCCATCTCCTTCTGAAAAGTCAGCCACCGAAACCCCCATGGAGCGCAGTTCTGTATTCTGACACGCATGGGGGGCCATAAACTTGAGTTGACACCACAACTGAATTGGGGATACGATTGTTGCTGTTGAGTGCCATTGAATCAATTCGGACTCATGATGACCCTGTATAGTGTTTCTGAGGAGCAGTTGTTGGGTTTGGATTTACAAACAAGGTAGACCTAGATAGGCTGAGGTTTCCTATGTCTTCCCTGGTGAGGTCACTGATGAGAGAGGAACTGAGTTTTTCTAACAGGCTGATTTTAGACAAACACCATGGTTTGCTGTGATCTTTTGTAATCTCACCACCAATGGTCAAGCAGGTTCCTGCTATAGCCCTGCCCACGCTGACTCTGTTTCTTGGCTTCTTGGTCAGGACGAACCCTGTGTCAGTCCACTAACGTCCTCTCTGCCTCCTGTCCCAGGTTGGTATGCAGCTCAGGGCTGACACCTGCCTCCTCATTCTGCCCAAGAGATGGCTGAGAACCTTTCTGTGCAACTGACCCTCTGGAAGGGCTTTGAGGAATGCCAGTTGGTGTGTGATCCAGAAGTTTCTTGAATTCTTGTGCAGAGACGGGCAGTGGGGAGACCCAGGCCTGGGGGTTTGAATGACAGTTCTGCCACTTTGGGATCAAGTAACCCTGGGTAGATGGCTCGTTCATCTTCCCTTGGGTCCTTCATCTGGAAGATGAGTTGTTGAGAGGCTCCAAAGATAGATGGGAGAACAAAAGTGACCACTGACTCCAAACAGCCTGTTGAGTGTTTGTTTGCTGGTGACGCTGCTCACCCTTAACGGGCCAACCTTTAGGGCAGGATCCCCAACATGTGTTTAGGTGATAGCTACAATCATAACGGGCTCACATTGAATGTCTACTCTGCGTCCATAATCTTTCTCCTTCACTTATTCTCTGAATCTCAGTTTCCTCATCTGAAAAATGGCATTAATGCGAGCTAGGGGATTAAATAAACCAATGTATAGCAAGTGTTCAACATAATGTCTAGTTCATTCCTCAAGAGCTGTAATCAGCTAAACTCGTATTTCCATTTAATTCCCACTGCCTTGTGAAATAAATAGTATCATTAGCCCTATTAGATAGATGATGAAACCCCAGGATTTGGAGAGATTAAGTCATTGCCTTAGGCCACCTAGCTATTGGTTTGCAGAATCAGGAATCTGAAGCCAGTGCCCCACAGGGTCTACAAGACTGTCTTTTGTGGGAGCAGAGCGCCACATCTTTCTCCCGCAGAGCGGCTGGTGGATTCAAACTGCTGACCTTTCAGTTAGCCACAGAGTGCTTTAACCACAGCACCACTGGGTTCCTATAAAAATCTCACCAGTCCCACTGCCATCAAGTTGGTTCCAACACATAGCGACCCCACAGGACAGAGAAGAACTGTCCCATAGGGTTTTCAAGGCCAGAAGCCTGGTGTGGCACTGCAGGATAAGTACTGGTCTGCTATCCGCCAGGTTGGTGGTTCAAACCCACCAGCTGCTCCTAGAAAACTCTATATAGGTCGCAATGGATCGGAGCTGACTCGATGGCACTCAACAATAACAATCTTTACCAGACGCAAACTGGCACATCTTTTCTTCTTGGTATGGATGGTGAATTTGAACTGCCAACCTTCTGGTTAGCAGTGTAGTGCTTTAGCCACTGTGCAACCAGGGCTCGTAGGCACACCACAGGTATAAGTAATTCTGGCACCCAGGGAAGATTCAGTTCAAATCAACAGCTGTTTAGTGTTTGCTGTTTACCAGCTGCTACCATATATCTGGAGTCCTGGTGTAGAGCCTTAGGATAAGCATTTGACCTCAAGGTTGGTTTGAACCGCAAGGTCGGTCAGTGGTTCAAACTCACCGGCCGCTCCTCAGAAACGCTATACAGGGTTGTTCAGATAGCGTAGTGGGATATAAGTTGAGCTGCTAACCACAAGTCAGAAGTTTAAATCTATCAGAAAGACGAGGCTTTCTGCTCCAGTAAAGATTTACAGCCTCGGAAACCCTATACAGAGTCACTATGAGTCAGAGCCGACTCCTCGGCACACAACCACCATGACCAGGTAGCTGCTGCATGTTAAGGTAAAGATACCATCACAGGTACTCACAGGGTTAATCCACAGTATTAATCACTAGCCCTACGTTTCCCAGGTACAACCCCTCTTGATCTTCCCTTCACCCAGCCCTGTTCTTCAGTGACTAGGTGGCTTCCTCCACCTGCCCCTGCCATGGCCTCTACCTTCCCTCTGTGGGAGAGGTCTCAGGGCTGGTCCATTGCACAGCTCTCCCAAGTCAACATTGTTACAAGCCTTCGTAGGCTCATGCCATCTCCCTTCATTATCTGCCACGTCAGTGATGACACATAGCTCAGGTGCACATTGCTGTATTGGTTCAACCCATCACACATGTTATGGGATCCCTGAGAGAGCCTCCTCACCCTTGTACTGAAAGTTCCCTAAGGGCCCAGGTCTCCTACTCCATTAGTAATCCCTCCTCCTCCACTAGAGAAAACAATGGGCAAGCCTGGCACTGGTCTACAGAAGGACCACAGGAAGTGGTGTGGCCTCCTTAGCCAGTAGGAGATGCCATTGAGAGGAGTCAGGGTCCCAGATGGGTGGGGGAGCCAGGGCCTCCCAGGGCCACCAAAAGAAGGCTTAGTGTACCCATGGGAATAACGCCTTTTGCTTTTCAAATGCCTCTTGGAGTTTTTCATCAGCATGACCCCCTACTTAACTGTCCCTGGTCTTGTTGTCTAAAACGTACATTAATTTTTTAATTAATTTATTAGCTTTTTATTGTGATATGGGTAAATGTTTACAGAACAAGTTGGATTTCCATTCAACAGCTCAGAGATGTTTTGATTTGTGACCATGATGGAATTCCCCCAAACGTAACATCTTTCTTCCCACTTCTTCCCTGTTTCTATTCGTCCTTCTTCCTCCTGAGCTTTATTCCTGAACACATGCAGTTGAACTCCTTTTTAGACTAGAGTGTGAATAACACCGCCTGGAAGTGGGCGGCCTCAACATCCTATACCTGTACTGGCTTGATTCCATTATCAGGCCTTAAATCGAAGTTCAGACCAGGCATGCAGACTCTTAAGAACGGATGGGGTGCACAGCTGGTGGGGTCTGACTTACCTTGATCACAGTGGAATTGAATCCAGAGGTCATGTGACTCGGGCTCAGTGGGCACAGTGTAACCAGACTTTACTCTCCTTTGCCCTTCAGACCAAGCCAGTGGCGGAAGCATTGACTGGGCCTATGACTTTGGCATCAAATACTCATTTGCCTTTGAACTGAGAGACACAGGTCGCTATGGCTTCCTCCTACCGGCCAACCAGATCTTGCCCACAGCGGAAGAAACTTGGTTGGGCCTGAAGACCATCATGGAGTATGTGCGAGATCACCCGTATTAGGACTCCGAGGAGTAAATCTCATTAAAATTGCTTTAGTTTGAAGAAGAGTTGGAGTGTGATTATTCCTATTTCTAATACTGATCTGGGAGCATAGTTTTCCCCATTTATGAAACCCTAAAACACAAGCCACTGTACAATACCTTTCCATCTCCGTTCTAGAGCTAGAAGCCCCTGGGTATTGACAAGGATTAAGTGTTTGAATATTAAACAGAAGGTTGGTAGTTCAAACCCATCCAGAGTCGCCTTGGAAGAAAGACCTAGAGATCTGCTTCGGAAAGATTCGCCTTGAAAACCATGTGGAGCACAGGTCTGCTCTATAACATCTGGGATCTCCATGAGGCAGAATCAACTCAATGAACAATGGGTTTGGTTTTGATTTAGAGCTAGAAAGAATGTTAGCATTCATGTTCTCACTAAATGCTACTAAGTGGCTACTCAGAGCCAGACATTATTTGAGGGGCTGGATTCTCAAACCCCCATTGTTGCCTTTGGCTTTTCCATTGATTGCATTGTAAAAACAAACAAGCAGTGCTCCTTGCCCCATTGAGGCTGGGTCTCAGATCCTACGCAATTACTCTTTAGACATTCATTTCAATTTGGGAATTGGAGATTTCTTCATGTTGATGGTTTTCCCTAGGAGAAAAGGGTGGGAAAGGAATTTCAGCTTGGTCAAGAATTCTGGGTACGCTACGTGATTCTTCATGGGTCTTAGTTTCTCTTGTTTGGCTTCAAAGAAGAAATTTCTCTCAATGAAGTAGAACCCAGCCTTTGTGGGGACAGGGTGGGTGGGACAAGGGGTACAGTTTCAGTGCTGGAAAGACAAAAGAGTCCTGAGAGAGGAAAAGGAGATAGAGGCTCCAGCTCCATGGCTCCCAACTATAACCCTTGGTTGTGTCCACTCCCCTTGGGCAAGAATGTAGACTGTAGGGGTTGGGATAGGGGGAAGGACTGCAGCTTTCAGGTCAGACTCAAAGGTGCCAGAAGTCTAGAAGATTATGAATGAATCTGGAGATTATGAGTGTCTTCTATCGGACTTACAGAAAGTCCACCAGACTCAGTGAAGTCATTGTAAAAAAGTAATTATTAATAATATGAATATCATGAGACTCCAAGGAAAGCTGGTCATTTATTCCGAGTAACTAATTGCCTTAATCTATGTCTGTTGTCTTAGTGGAGCCAGTAGAATCAGGCCTTAGATTCATAACAGAGACCAGGAATTTCCTCGTTATGACCTAAAACCTCCGACACCAAACCCGGTTGCCATTGAGTCCGTTCTGACTCACGGCGGACTGCAGGTGTAACCGAGCACAACTGAACTTTGTCGGGTTTCTGTGGCTGTGATCTTTATGGGAGTTGATCGCCAGGCCTTTGTTACACAAAGCTTCTGGTTGGGTTTGAACCTCTAACCTTTTGATTAGTATCGAGCACAAATCATTTGTACCATCCAGGGACCTCATTAGGACCTGGCCCGTGCAGTCCTCTGTAAGAACTCAACACGTGTGGTCGTGGAAACAGCTTTGGAGTTACTTTGGTACTCTGCACTTTTTTGTTAGAAGCAACAGGTTTACAATCTGACCTCTCCTGTCAGTGTGAACTCCAACTCACACGGTGGGGCTGTCCTATTTACTCAAAAACCACCATTTAAATGCCAAGGGATGAGCAGCCTGGCACCCTTGGCACAGACTTTTGCAGCCTGTAGAGCAAGTTCCTGACTTGTAAATGGAGTGGCTTGTCCTTTATCATGCCAAAGGAATGGAAGAGGCATGGACAGGAGCCAGCCTGCCCACAGTCAGAGTTGCAAAGGTGCTTGGGAATCACATTAGCATTTTTGAGAAGATGAGTCTGCTTTAGTCTCCTTATAAATACAGCTTGACTCAGCTACTATGTGGCTGACACTCTTGGAACATGAGGTGGATCCTGTTCTTTGGGGCCTTTATTGGGCCCAGCATCTGTGGTCGAGAAAAATTTTTTGGGTAAGTTCCTTTTTGAATTTATTATTTAGTTCATTCAGAAACACAGGACCAAATGAAACTGAGAATGAACAGCTTAGTACCCCTCAAGCAGTATGGCCTTGGGGAAAGAAGAGCTTGCCTTCTGTCTCAGCTCAGCCACTGTGTCCAGTAGACAAGTAACTTGACTCTGAGGTGTGATTTGCAAAGTCAGGACATGAGGGTCTCTGTGGTCCCCTCGCGGCTCCCCAGTCTCCTGCCAATTTGTCCTTTTCTTAGTTTTTATTTGTAAAGCTGGTTGCAGGCATCTTCTGGTTTTTTTGGGGACTCCTACATTATTAATTACCAAGAATGACCAGACACCGTTCCTGATTTCTGCCATGCTCAGTTTCCCCTCTCTGTTAATGGTGAGGGCTTCCAGTCAGCTCTGGCACCTGTGCTTTGCTGGGTCTTGCCTCCGCAGCTGTGCACAGTGACATGCGAGGGCCCACCTGTTCATTGTGTGAGCGTGTGCCTGTTCCAGACACTCCACACACAGTGCTCTGAGGTGTGCGGAGGAGAGTACATTCGGGAGGTGGAGAGATGAAAGGTGCCCTGCTAGAAGATTGAATTATACTAACTCATTACCACGGTAATGCTTTCCCATTTGCAAAGAGCTTTCATGTACATTATGTTTTGGCTCACACAACAACCCTGCCAGGCAGGGGTGTTATTTTCCTCAATTTACACTTGAAAAACTCAGACTCAGAAAGGTTAAGGAACCCGCCCAAGGCCACTTAGCTGGTAAGCAGGGGAGCTGGAATGTAAACCCCATACCCTTCTGCCAGAACACGTTAATCTCCATGTAGAATCCCTGATTCTCACGGATTTAGTCCTAGCTGTTGGTTTACCCTCTGCGATCGCTGTCTGGTAAAGGGACTTTGGGGTTGTTTATTCAGGCAGTGACTTTTATGAACTTGAGTAATTTTGCACTAATGACTTCTGTACACACTTGTGTCATTACTGCCAAATAGCTGGGAGGGGTTAGGTGGAGCGGGTGGCCCGGTAAGGAGATTTTTCTACAGGTGGTCCAGCTGAAGGTATGGCAGAGCTACATTCAGTACCGTGTGGGCTGATGTACAAAGCTAGCTGTCACACGTGCACCATAGCTCTTCACACGCCAGAAGAACCTGTCAACCAGTATCCAGATCTCTCACAAAACCCAAACACCTGGCTCTGAGTGATCTCCCCAGCTCTGCATGGAAAGGCAGTTGGTTTTTTAACCATGAGTGTCATCCTCGGCCCTATATCTGTTCTGGTCCCCCAGTAGGGAACTCACAAAGGTGTGGCATCCTTCCTGGGGCTCCCGGACATAGCCCAGACACCTGGCTCAGTGAATATTCAGAGCAAGGGGAAGCTGGGCCTCCTCCTAGGGTAGCTGGAGGGGAAGCCAGAACGTCCATTGGCTCTGAGGGGTGGGATGGCGATGGAGAGGAGGGTGGGGTTTCTCTTCACCATTCAGTCTCCCTCGCATCCAACTTGCCCACCTCCCCAGTGTCCTCTGTCCAGGTCGTTTAGTCATCTGAAGGATGGATGGTGGCCAGGTGTCTAGAGTTGTAGGACAGATTGGGGACAGGAAGCAGTTGCAGAACCAGTTGTAACCTCAGCAGCAGCTGGCAGATAATTGAGTTGTGTGACCATCTCTCAGCACTCATGGAAAAGAGCAGGTCCCTTCGCTACCTGTTTGGTAAAAGGGGACCCATAAAAGGTCAGTCCCCAGGTGATTACTGACTGTCCAGAACATGGGACAAGTATAAAGATGAATGACAGGGTCTCACTAACTATCACATTGGCCACAACTGGATGGCATTGAGTAGGGAAGAAGGACAGATTTAAGGACACATTGCAGTGGAGCAAACGCCAACACACTCCCCAAGCTCCTAGTGTCTCCAGATAGTGGAGACAGGTTGTAGTCAACCATCCACACTCATGACCTGGGCAAGTGTTTTTCAAATAGGGGACTGGTCAGTGAGGGCAAAAACACCCCACAACTCTCTTTAATATGGTGCCCCATTTACTTTCTCTCTGCTTCTGGGTATTGATGGGCTTAAGTTCTTAAGAATAATGGTACGTCTTGCTCCCAATTCCTAGACCATCTGAAGACAGTGTCTAGCTCTGCCTCATGGTAGCAAAAGCTTCAGGGACATTGGGAATTAGGTCGCAAAGACTGGATGAGAGATTGCCAGGCAGATAAGCAAAAGGAATGGGTATGCTAACCGAGGAAACAGCAGGTGCAAAAATCTTTGTTGCTGTCTTAGGCAATCGAGTTGATTCTGACTCACGGTGACTTCATATGTTATAAAGGGGAACTGTTTTAAAGGGTTTTCCAGGTTGTAATCTTTATGGATACAGATCACCAGGTCGTGTCTTCCGTGGTGCTGATGGGTGGACTTGAACTGACAACCTTTTGGTTACTGGGAACTGTTCAGAGAGGGTGAAAGTACATGGTGAATTGGGGGTCTCAGGAGGCTGAAGTCAAGAGGAGAGAGGTGGATGAGGGACAGAGGTACCAGTCTTGTATTCTGCCCCTGTGTGTGCTGCAGATGTTTCTGTCGCCTCTGGTGAGAGTGGATTTAAGCATCATCTGTGCTAGTTTGATTCACTGTACCCCCTGAGTATCAAGTTCTGTTAGAAGGTCTTCACCTTAAAAATGCAAAGGGCATGGTTTAGCTGGATGTGTTTTAATACTCCGAAGAACTTCTTATGGTTGTGTTCCTCTTTTTTCTTCCCTGGTCTTTCTCCCTCACTCCCTTTTTTGTGGTCAGTGCTGTATTTACAAATTCTTATTCTGCATGCCAAGGATCCCTGGTAGTACAGTAGATTGATTACAAGCTGGGCTGCTAACCCAGCAAGGTCAGCAGTTGGAATCCACCAGCTACTCCAAGGGGGAAAGATGAGACTTTCTGCTCCCATACAGATTCATAGCCTCAGAAACCATTTCAGGGGTTGCTGTGAGTCAAAACCGACTTCAGGACACACAACCACCACCGCCATTCTTGAGTCAGAATGGACTCTGTGACAGCTAACAACAACAACAAAAGTGTTACCAGTGGAGATGCCAAGGCATAGGCTCTAGAATGTCCCCTGTGCCCCACTTCCCCTCCCCACCCCCCCATGGTAAATATACTTAACAAAAAATGTATGACTTAGCTGTTTTTTGCATGTATGATTCAATAGCGTTAAGAACACTCCCAATGTTACTTACCCATTAGTATCCATTTCCAGATCTTTTAAATTACTCTGAACAGAAATTCTGTATCCATTAAGCAATAACTCTCCTTCCCCAAGCCTCTGGTGGTAATCTCTATTCTACTTTCTGTCTCTATGGACTTACTTCTTCTTGATTTCTGATAGAAACAGGATCATACAATATTTGCCCTTCTGTGTCTGGCTTATTTCATTTACCATAAGGTTTTCAATCCAGTCTTATGTATATATCAGAACTTTATACCTTTTTTATGGCTGCATAATATTCCATTGTATGTATGAGAGACTTCAAAAAGTTCGTGGAAAAATGGAATGGAAAGAGAATGGAATTTTCCCAGAACTTTTTGAAGCCCCTTTGTATATACTCCAAAGATCCATGGCGGTACAGTGAGTTAAGCATTGGGCTGCTAACTAGAAGGTTAATAGTTCAACCCACCAGCCGCTCCTTGAGAGAAAGATGAGGCTGTCTGTGTGCAACCATAAAGATTTGTAGTCTCTGAAACCCAATGGAGCAGTTCTATGATCTGGCCATGCTCGATGGCAGTGAGTTTGGCTTGGTGTATATACCGAACCAGCCATCTGTGAGTTTGTTGGATTGTAGTTTGTGTTGCTATGATGTTGGAAGTTGTGCTACCAGTAATTCAAACACCCTCAAGGTCACCAGGTTTCAGCAGAGCTTCCATGCTAAGACTAAGAGAGGTCTAGTGATCTACTTCTGAAAACTAGCTAAGGAAAATGCTACGGATCACAACAGAATAGTGTCCAATATAGTGCTGGAAGATGAGCCCTGTCAGGTTGGAAAGCACTCATCATATTAGTAGCCTCAACAATGAACAGAGTCAAGCAGCTAGCAGTCAAGACGATGGCGCTGGACTGGGGGGGGATAGACTCGACTTGATGACAACAATAGTATTGTTGTTGTTGTTAAGTGCCCTCGAGTCGTTTCCTACCCATAACAACTCTGTGTAGGGTTTCCAAGGAGCAGCTGGTGAGCTTGAACCACCGACCTTGCACTTCAAACTGACTTTGCAATAGACACCTCATTTAGTTTATTCATCCATCCACTGATAAACATTTGGGTTGACTTTTGTGGATAGTGCTCCGCGAACATTGGTGTACACGTATCGGTTTGAATGTAGAATGCCCACCTTTAATACTCGTGCTTTTCTGAGTTGTTGCGGGTGCACGTTGATAGAGCATATGCTCAGAAGACTGGCTCTGGCATTCAGTCAGAAATGAGGGATTCCCTCTGTTTTCAATCAATCCATCCCTTTTTTGCAAGCCTGTTGGGTTTAGACTAAGACTTGTCCAGCCAGTGGTTTCTCCAAGGCACCTCAACTGCTCTCAGGGAATACAGATGGACTGCCTTTACTCATGACCCTGTGGAGATGTGGAGTTCTGCAAGGATCTCCACGCCTGCTATCTGTTATGGCAGCAGCTCTGTAGTGGACCTGACCTGCCTTCTTAGGGCTGGCCTAGACCTCCCCCCACAGAATCCTCAAATCCTTCCAGAACAAAGTTAGGCTCTGAGGGTCTATCCGGATGGAGCCGGTTTTCTGACAAGGAGAGAGGCTGAGTTGCCACGTGAGGCTGCTTGGTTAGCTCCTGGTGACAGACCCATTTTCTCTGTCAACAGGTCCTTCAGCCCACAGCCCTCTCCAGTCGCTCTTCCCGCATTCAGTCGTGTCAAAGAGATGACGCATGTGACAGCGTCAAGTGCAGATTCATTGAGCTGTCACCTAGCAACAGCCTAATGGGTCCCCTGGCTCCCTGAGCTGGTGTGAGGCACAAAGGCAGCTTTTCAGGCTCAGCCTTCTCCCACCCACACACTAGGCTTCAGGGGCCTCTTATCCTGAATAGTCCATGGGAAATAAGAGCAGGACAAACAGCAAGGAGGGCTCTGGTCAGGGCAGGCCCTTGGGCCCTCTCAGAACATTGTGAAGATAATCCATCTCTAGTTCATCCTGGGCGATATTCACGTCCTCTACAACCCTCAATTGTACAGGATTCTGGAGCCGGAAGGGATTGAGGGACCCCCATCCTCCAACATCTCCCCTCTTTCCTAATAAGAGAGTAGCTAAACCTCCAAGGATACAGGGTTTGTTCTCTCTCCCAGCCCCTCCCAGATGGAGGGTCCGCCAACATTTCAGCCCTGGCCCTTGACATTGAAGAAGTGCTTCTTTATGTCTTGAGTTAGCTATGTAGCTCGGGAACATTCCTTTCTGGAAAATATATGTTTTTCATTATAAAGTAATATGACCACATTACAGAAAACAGATACAAGGGGGAAAAAACCCCAGTAAGTCATCCATAATCCCATGACCTGAACATAAGCACTGTCAGCATTCGGTATATTTCCGTTGTCTGTTTCTCTTCCAGTGTGTCTGTTTTTTTCATACTTGTAATCATGGCATACATGCAATTTTGTGTCCTGCTCTTTCACTTCATATTTCTCTGAAAGTTATACCATAAGCACGTTTACATCTTTGCCACGTAGTCTTATTTTTAATGGCTATACATTATAACCAAAGACTAGACCATTTCCTCTTGTTCAGCCCAGCGAGAAGGACATCATGCCTGGTAAAGTGGAGGGTCAGTGAAAAAGAGGAAGACCCATAACAAGATAGATTGGCACGGTGTTAGCAGCAATGGACTCAAGCTAACAATTGTGAGGATGGTGTAGGATCGGGCAGTGTTTTGTTCTGCTGTGCATAGAGTCACTATGAGTCGGAACCAATGTTGTTAGGTGCCATGGAGTTGGTTTTGTAGTGACCAAATGCACAACAGATGAAGCACTGCCTGGTCCTTCACCATATTTTATATATATATATATACATATTTATTAAGTATATATATATATATATATACTTAACAATAACAACTATATATATAGTTGTTGTTGTTGTTAAGTGCTGTCTAGTCGATTCTGACCCATAGCGACCCTGTATAGGGTTCCCAAGGAGCAGCTGGTGAGCTTGAACCACCAACCTTGCAGTTCAAATGACTTTGCAGTCTGATGCATTAGCCAACAGCGCCACACCAGGTCTCCTTTTGTTGTTGTTAAGTGCCGTGGAGTTGGTTCCGACTCATAGCGACCCTGCACAGGGTTTCTGAGGCTGTAAATCTTTACGGGAGCAGAAAGCCTCATCTTTCTCCCATGGAACCACTGGTAGTTTCGAACTGCTGACCTTGCGGTTCACAGCCGGATTCATAACCACTACGCTACCAGAGCTCTCTAGCGCTCTCTCTCTCTCTCTCTCTCTCTCTCTATATATATATATAGAGAGAGAGAGAGAGAGAGAGTGGCGCTGTAGGATAAGCACTCGACCTTAAGGTTAGTTTGAACTGCAAGGTTGGTGGTTCAAACTCACTAGCTGCTCCTTGGAAACCCTATACAGGGTTGCTATGAGTTGGAACCAATGGCTTTTAACTACAAATATATATATGGTGGTGGTGGTGTGCCAGGGAGTCGGTTCTGATTCATAGCGACCCTGTATAGAATTTCAGAGGTTGTAAATGTTTTCAGGAACAGAAAGCCTCATCTTTCTCCCATGGAACCACTGGTAGTTTCGAACTGCCGACCTTGAGGTTAGCAGCCCAACTTGTAGTTACTACACTACCAGAGCTCCTTACAAATACACACACACATATAAATGCATTTTTCCTTCTTCTCTCCAGGGACCAGGTTTTTAGGATTAATGTCAGAAATGAAGACGAGATCAACAAACTGACTCAGCTAGTGAATTCGGAGAACTTTATGGTACCTTCTTCTTAATTCTCTTGGGTATCTTCAACCTTGGGCGAGGGGAGACTTTTGGGCAGCCAGCATTATGATTATCATTCTTCCCAAAGATTTTCTACGTATAATCCTGAATTAGTCAACATGCCATCTACATGTTGACATGGTGACACGGGTGGAGGGCTGTTGTAGAGATGGATGCATGAGTTGTAGGCTCCATCTTCCTCTCTGTCATGGGCTTATTGATTCTTGGGGTCAACTGTGCAGGACTGACTAGATACAATGTGAAATGAGCAGAATTTGCTCACCCCTCAGGGAGCACCCTAGCATTTGGCAGTGGTTCTAGAAGAATGAGTTCATTGTGCTTTTACCTGAACCATCTTTAACCTGATTTTGTTTCTGTTTTCTTCAGCTTAACTTCTTTAAACATCCCTCCACCTTCGGGCGTACTGTGGATGTCCTGGTTCCGGCTGTCAGTCTACAGCCAGTCAAATCCTTCCTGAAGTCCCAAGACTTAGAATACTCAGTAACAATCGATGACCTTCAGGTGGGTAGGCCACACCCCTTCCTGGTCTTGAAGCCAATCCAGAGTGGACCTGAGAGAGTGTCAAGTTCTTGTCCAAACCTTCTCCATTTTACAGATGAGAAAACTGAAATATCTAGAAAAAAGATGAGGTTGTCTGCTCCCATAACAATTTACAGTCTCTGAACCCCTTTGGAGCAATTCTACTTTATCCTACAGGGCCGCTGTGCATTGGAATCAACTTGGTGGTGATGGGTTTAGTTGTTGGTTTGGAAGTAACGTAAGTGACCTGTTGGAAAAACAACATGCTATAGTAGAAAAGGCAGACATAGATTATGGCCCCACACTGAGCTAGATCCAAGTTCTGATTTTGCTAACTACTAGCTATGTGACTTTGGACAAGATAGTAACCTCTTGAGCCTCAGTTTCTTCATCAGTAAAATGGCACTAGTGATACCTACTACATAAGACTATTGATAAGATTAAGTGATGAGATGTGCTTAGAATGTCTAGCAATGTCTGCTACATCATAGGTACCCTTCAAATATTAAGTTCTTCTCCCTCTTTTTACCTGAAGTCAAGGGATCACAGCAGAATGGGGAGAGAGTATGGGAGATCAGTCATAAAATGCACACTCTGAGAAAGGGGGGAATGTTTACCAACAGCCCCCAGCAGAGGGAACATCAAATTCCAAGTCAGACACCAGCCTCACGTCCTATATTCAAACAGCAGGGCCGTGTCTGGCTCATGTTTTCTTCCTCACTGAGGTGGGTTATGGACTAATTGGTGATTCGGCCCGGGAGTTTCCTGATGGCGTGAGCAGCTGTGAGCTTATTAATCACCCTCATATGTCACAGACATCTGCCAGGAACCTTCAAAGTATGAGTGGTTATAAGAATTTCTTTGTTTCTGAATGGTTTCCCAAGCGGTGTATTTCAGAGGCACTGGATACCAGATGCGGGTTGATGTCTAGAGAATTCATACTGTAGAATAACCAAATAGCACATATGTTACTTCCAGGGAATAAGTGAGTTTTGAATGGGGTGATGTACATTGGGTGCCAAGAGGTAAGATTTTATAAATAAATGGAAGAAATCTCACCCCCTTTTAAACTCTTTGTGTTTAATATGTATGCTGAAGCTGCCGCCATTTTGGTCAGCCTACCTCTGTCTCCAAGGGCCCCTTTCACAATGTTGCTTTGTCTGTTTTAGGCCCTTTTAGATGATGAAGATGAGGAGATGCAACAAAATGAAGGAAAAGAACGGAGTGGTGACGATTTTAACTACGGTGCCTACCATTCTCTGGAAGCTGTAAGTGTTTCAAAGTAGATTATCAGCCTCTGCCTCCTGGGTTTGTATGTTGTTGTTGTTCAATGCCATTGAGTTGCTTCCGACTCATAGCAACCCTGTGTAGGGTTTCCGAGGAGCGGCTGGTGGGTTTGAACTGCCGACCTTGCAGCTCAAACTGACCTTATAGTCCAGTGCATTAACCTGCAGTGCCATACCAGGACTCCCTTTACTTCTAGGAGATATTAGTCTTTAGTGCAGTATCACTTCACTTTAGGACAAAAAAATATGTGCACTTCCATTTCATTCTAATTCTTGGGCAATTTGACTTCCACCAGTACCTGATAACATAATGTCACACAAAGTGGATTTTTCTTCAACATGTATCCTTCTTTTCTTAAGAAAAACATGAAATAATTGCAATCATTTTCAGACCTTGTAATTCAGCCTTCTAATACCCACCACAATTCCTCTATTCCGTTTACTCAGGATAAAAACGTTACTTATTCCAGGCAACTAGACAAGTGGTTACTTCCAAGGTTAACCAAATATTTCCATTCATTAATCACGACCACTTATAACGTATACTTGTTCCGTAATGTGTTTTGGTTCTATGTTTAGCTAGAAACCATTTTACATAGATGACTGATTTTCAAGGTAAGCCAACCTTTCAAATGAAACTCTTGTAGCAAAATAATTGAATATGATATTTGACTGGCTCTGCGTCACATACAATGGAGTTCCCTTATGTTCCTCACTGTCTTCTCCATTAGTCTGCAGACCCACCACATCTTAGGAACACATCCCAAATCCAAGTGGGTATTTTCCTTCACATACTTTAATACATGACATGTACAAGGATGGTGTTCCTGTGGGCTTCTCCTAGTCATGTACTTTAAGTTGGTGTAGCTTTTTCCTGAGATGGGCTTGTTTCAAAGGTTGACCAACTATTTCCATGCCTTTCCCATGGTTGTTGGAAGTTTTGTTTATTGTGCACACTTCCAACCACACTGCCCCTTGATCCCTCTTGTGACCACTGACACACATCTGCAAAACAGCTGGATGAACTTAAGAGTTCAGTCTGGGGCCATGGGCAAAAGAGGAGGGAATGGGCCCACTCAGGGACCAAGCCTGGGACGTGTGCCTCATTAGCATGGAGAACTCCCCAGCTGAGCTAACCAGTCACTAATGTTGACAAAGCCTCAGAAAGGCCCATCCCCTGGCCTGCTTCATGCTGGAACCCCACTTTCTCATCAACACTCGCTTCTGGTTCTCTGGCTGTAGGCGTTCCTTGCAATATGATTGGCAGCTTCCTTTCTCACTCTACAATGAAGGCCTCTAGCAGTGAATTGCTGTCCCATCTCCCTCCTAGTTTGATCACATTCAGTATTTTCTAAAAACAACTTTCCCCACTGGGACTTTCTTAGGTCTCCCATGGGAATTTCAGTTTGTTTCTGACAGGGTGTCTGGTGCCAGACCTTTTGGGGGTGGTTGCTGTGGTGGATGTGATATTGTGAGTTTCTTCTTCCCCTGATATCAGCAGTGGGAATGGGAAACCACATCAGGATACAACATGGTACTTTAACTTCTGGGTGTCTCATAGCTCAGGGAGGCATCCAGCTTTTGCTTCAGTTTCTAGGGTCAGTGGATAGAGCTTTCTGGTCCCCCTTCATGGCTGGAACTGTCCATTTTCAGTTCTCATTTTTGTGTAAGGAGTTCAGTTTCAACCTTTGCCCCATGTTTTATGTATACCCTCAGTCCCAGGGCAGAAAGATGGCCCTATAGCTTTATCTTCTGCCCTCCCCTCTGGCACAAACAAACTGCCCCCTGTTTTTGGATTTTTAAAATCCCTCCACAGACTCCGTTTTTCTCCCTTGATGGTGACAGGGACCTCCGCTCCTGGACTGCAAAATTGGCTTTTAAACTAGACGGTGCATGTGTAATGTTGTCTTTGGATTTTATCTGGTGTGGCTGTGTGCTTGGGGGTGGTTTCTTGCTTCTGTTCAGTCTGCCATATTGATTGTAAGACTGATAAATCCTTTATGCTGGATTTTATTCTATATTGATTACACATTTTTCTCCTCTGTATAGCTGCTTCTTCCAATTTTAAGGGCTAACTATATATTTGTTTATTTCTTTCTGTTGATCCTCAAAAGGCTTGAGCAGCTAAGATGGATGAATTCTATTTCGATCAAGCCTTTTTCTTTTGCTGAAAACAAATGAAAGCTTTCTTAACTACTGTTTACAGCTCTTCACTTGTTCTCACCATCCTGCTGTAGATAAATCCTTTTCACCGTGGGGTGCCTCTACTACAAGGAATAATCAGGATGGTCCACTGGGGTGAGGCAGAAATTTTCAACTTCTATTTATATTTCTACATGTATTCATATTTGTTATTAATTTAACCTTTAAAATTTTTATTTCTTGTATATATATATGTTGTTGTTGTCGTTAAGTGCCATCGAGTTGTTTCCGACTCATAGCGACCCTGTACAGGGTTTCCGAGGCTGTAAATCTTCACAGGAGCAGAATGCCTCATCTTTCTTCCGCGGAGCGGCTTGTAGTTTCGAACCGCTGACCTTAAGGTTCGCAGCCCAATTCGTAACCACTACGCTACCAGAGCTCTCTCTCTGTCTCTCTGTCTCTCTCTCTCTCTCTCTGTCTCTCTCTCTGTCTCTCTCT